ATTTTTCTAAAGCTAAGAAACTTCATATTATGCTTTGTTAAATATCTATTAAAGTCACAATTCTTGCTAATAATTTTTAGAACAAGTTGCATTGCTTCATCATCATTTTCTGTTTAATATCTTTCATATTTTTTGTATATAGGGCTATCCTTGTCGACAGAAATTTTCTTACTTTCATTTGAAATTTCGCCAGCAATATTCTTTGAAATTTCGTCATCAATATTATTGTTTTTATTTGAAATTTTGTCAGCATTTTTCTTGCTTTCATTTGGAATTTTGTCAGCATTTTTCTTGCTTTCATTTGGAATTTTGTCAGCATTTTTCTTGCTTTCATTTGAAATTTTATCAGCAATATTATTGTTTTCATTTGAAATTTTGTCAGCATTTTTCTTGTTTCCATTTGAAATTTTGTCAGCAATTTTTTTGTTTTCATTTAAAATTTCGTCAGCAAATTTCTTGGCAAAACTAATAATGTCGTCATTCTTAATATTTTTAAGAATATTAAGAATATAATTAGGAATATCATTAGAATTAGGTTTCTCTTCTTTAGTGATGCCAATTGTCTCATAAAGTTTAAACAAATGGTCCTTTTCGTTTTTTTGACTTATTGTGGAGAAAATATTTTCTAAAAATACATCAAGTATTGCAATGGCTCTGTAATAAACCATTTCTTCTTCTTTGGATCCTAAATTTTTTTCAAGATATTTATTAATCCTATTATATTTATACCCAGGAGAGGTGGTGTTCGAAGAGGTATTTTTAAAACCATATCTATCAAGTATTCCAACAAGTAGCAGGATAGGCCTCGCATCAATTTCTGCTCCAAAAAATGTCACGTCATCATTTCCGGTTCTATATTCTCCAAAATAATTATCATAAACATCCTTTTCTATTATGTAAGTTCTTTTCATTGACAAATAAAAAATTGTCATAGGCAATAAAAGAATTGATCCAGGTATTTGAAATATAAATAAGAAAATTCTAAAAAGCAATCCATTCCATCCTATTTTTTTAATTTTTTTTTCGAAAATCACTCTCATTCTCACTAACATCATTCTTACTATCTGCATATCCCCAATGAAAATTAGACGTATGCTCAAAGAACTTTATTAAATGTGATAGGAATATATTGGTAAGCCATGATGATCCACTCACGATTATACCTATAGCCAAGTATTGACTTAAATTTGGAATAGGAATATTTCAGGGCTAACACTAACAAAAATTGTGATAATCGCCAAAATAATTACAAATAATGACATTAAGATAACGAACCATACAACAAATCTTTTTTCTAACCCGATAAGATAATTAATACGAGTTAAAAATTTTATATAGTTCTCATGCCTTTCGGTTTTTATATCTTTCAAGTCAACATCCTTTATATCTATCAATTGAAGTGAACGCTCTTTTTCATCGCCCTTAATGACATGAACAATATTTGTAAGGTATTCTTTGTTTGCTGTAGCCTTCTCCATAATGGCTCTTATGAGAGCTAAAACACCACCAGCAGCAGTGACACTCGATGTCGCAATTTTCAAAACTGTATTGGTAGCATTGTATTTTAAAATTATGAATAAGCATACTCCAATTAATACGGTGAGTGAAGCAGCAGAGACATGTCCTAACATTAAACTTTTCCGTTTATTTAAATTTTGTCGCGCCAACTCCCATTCTTCCTTCAACCTTATAAGAATAAACCTTTTTTCACGAATTTTTTTAAGATCTTCAGAATTAAGATCTTCAGATTTTTGTTCGTTGGTAGCCATACTAAAAAGTAATGAATAAGATAAACCTTAGTGTTGGCTGCCTTTAAATAAGACGTGGTAATATATAAATAATTTAAAAAAATTATATTATGAAATACACGTTACATTTCACAAACGCTTGCCACACTACTGTTATGTTCTGATTGAAATATGCATATATGTTAAATGTACTTTACGCCATATGTATGGAAGCATATAAGTTTGACTCCTTAAATACAATATTTAGATTTGTTACATTTCATGCCTACATTATTTAAGCTTCAGAGTACACTATTAATTAAGTTTAATCTATATAATTTACGCGAGAAGTTGTGTATTTTAACGTTTTTTATTGGTCGCTACGATATTCAGGTGATTTGATAAATTGGGTTATCGCTATACAATTTTCGTTATGACATAATTACTGAATTATTAGGCTATAACTATGCAATTATGACATAATTACCGAATTATTATGACTGAGAAATTTAAACAAGAAGCAAACAGCAGAGACCGTTGTAACGAATTAAAATTTTATTTTTTATATTATTGTAAATAATCCCTTTATTTTCTCGGTAAAATACCGCATGTAT